TGCGTTTGGGTCAGGTCAGTTGTCCCCCTGCTCGTGTCGCGCCTTGTCGCACCAGACCCTCCTTTGGCAACACCGCCTTGGTCACCCCTCGGTGCAGCGCCTTCGAAGCATGCACCGCCGTGTCCTTGTCTTTGGTCTTCCCAGGGTTCTCCCTCCCCTACCACCCTCGCCTGCTCCTCCCTGTCTTCCCTGTGTCGAGGGGCGGCAGCGCGCCGCTCCTCACTCCTCCTCGTTCCCTCCCACAGAGGCTCCCCTGCAGACTCTCCACCTGGACGTGTGGGGCCCAGCCCGCGTCCGTGGTCAGGGCCACAAGCGGTACTTCCTGCTGGTCGTCGACGACTACACGCGTTACACCACGGTCTTCCCCTTGCGCACCAAGGGTGAGGTCCCTGATGTTTTGATCCCCTGGATCCGCGCTGCTCGTCTCCAGCTCCGCGAGCGGTTCGGGACGGAGTTTCCCGTCCTGCGTCTGCACTCTGACAGAGGTGGTGAGTTTTCCTCCGACCTCTTGGCAGCCTTCTGTGAGGAGCACGGCATCACCCAGTCGTTCACGCTTCCGGCCTCTCCGCAGCAGAATGGGGTTGCTGAGCGCCGCATTGGCTTAGTCATGGAGGTCGCTCGTACCTCCATGATCCATGCGGCTGCCCCCCATTTTCTGTGGCCGTTTGCGGTCCGGCACGCCGCGCATCAGCTCAACCTCTGGCCCCGTGTCTCCTTGTCGGAGACCTCGCCCACACTGCTGTGGACGGGGAAGGTTGGCGATGCGTCGCGTTTCCGGGTCTGGGGTGCTCGTGCCTTTGTCCGCGATACCACCGCGGACAAGCTCTCCGCCCGCGCTGTTCCCTGTATCTTCCTTGGCTTTGTCCCTGACGCGCCTGGTTGGCAGTTTTACCACCCCACCTCGCGCCGTGTCTTCCCCTCTCAGGACGTCACGTTCGACGAGTCGGTTCCCTTTTACCGTCTCTTCCCCTACCGCACTGCCCCTCTCCCCTCCCCGCCGCTCTTCCTCGCTCCAGGTGCTCCGCAGGTAGACCCCCTCCCCACTCCCGGTCCTGCTCCTTCAGGTGTGTCTCATGTAGACCCTCCTCCCTTGACTGCGCCGGTTGAGGTCACTGGTGACTCAGGTCCTGCTGAGGGTGGTCCTGCTCGGGGTGCTGCTTCTGGGGGTGCTGAGCCTGGGGGTGCGGAGCCTGGGGGTGCGGAGCCTGGGGGTGCTGAGCCTGGAGGTGCGGAGCCTGGGGGTGCGGAGTCTGGAGCTGCTGAGGGTGCTGGAGCTGGAGGTTCTGGAGCTGCTGAGGGTGCTGGCGCTGGAGGTTCTGGAGCTGCTGCGGGTGCTGGCGCTGGAGGTTCTGGAGCTGCTGCGGGTGCTGGCACTGGAGGTTCTGGAGCTGCTGCGGGTGCTGGCGCTGGAGGTTCTGGAGCTGCTGCGGGTGCTGGCGCTGGAGGTTCTGGAGCTGCTGCGGGTGCTGGCGCTGAGGGTTCTGAGTCTGCTGTTGCGCGGTCTCCCTGGAGTAGCCGCCTTCGTCCGCGTGTGCCTCTCACCTCACAGCAGCTGCACGACTGGTACGGTCGCCGTCAGGGTCGCGCTTCTGGAGCTCGGGGCTCTGCCGCTGGAGGTGTTTCTGCTGCCGTCACTGGAGCTGGGAGTGGTGCTGGTCCCGGAGGTGGTCGTACTGGAGGTACTGGAGCTGCTGGGGCTGGAGGTGCTGCTGAGCCTGAGGGTGCTGCTGCTGGAGACCCTGGGTCTGGGGGTGCTGCTGGTGGGGACACTGAGGCTGGAGACCCTGGGACTGGAGGTGCTGGTTCTGGGGGTGGTGCTGCTGGTGGAGCTGGTCCTGGAGGAGCTGGCGCTGAGGGTTCTGGAGCTGTTGGGGGTGCTGGAGCTGCTGGTGCTGGTGGCACTGCACAGCCGCGCCTGTTCTTCGCTCCACCGTCTCCGTCGTCTCAGCCACCGCCTCACTCTGTGCTTCGCCAGGTTCTTAGTCTCCCTTCGTCTACTGGTCTTCCGTTACAGCCTGGCTCACCGCTGCCTGCTCCTTCTCCTTACACTGAGCAGACAGGGGGTTTTACTGAGCGTCGTGAGCCTGCGTCGCGTCCTGTCTCGCCTGTCCGTTCTAGTAGTTCCGGTCGTCGTGTTCCTCGTTCGCGTCAGCAGACTGTCCCCGGCACCCACCTCGTAGTTCGTCGTCCTTCCTCTCCTCCGCAGCGTGTCCCCCTGCCGTCCCCTCCTGCGTCTTCTCTGCCTACCGTTCCTGAGCCTGAGTCTGACCACACCCGTGCTGCTCACCCTACTGTCACGCGTCTGCTAGCCACAGTTGTCACTGACCCGTCGTTTGAGTCTGCTGCTGCGTCTGCCTTTGTCGTTGAGATTGTTGACTTTGCTGCTGCCTGTCGTCTAGACTACGCCGCTAGTCTTGTTGCTGAGTCTGAGTCTGTCTGTCCTCCGTCCGTCGGGGGTGAGTGTGCTCTTGGCACGCACGTCCTTGAGGACAGGCAGGAGGACCTTGAGTCTCTTGCAGCCGCTGCGCCTCACCTCGTGTCCATGCTGCTTGCCCCTGAGGGAGACCCGGATGCTCCAGACATCCCTACCCCGCGCTCTTACGCTGAGGCGATCGCGGGTGAGTACTCCTCTCAGTGGCAGACAGCCATGGACGCAGAGATGGCATCCTAGAAGTCCACAGGCACTTACGTTGACGAGGTTCCCCCTCCTGGGGCGAACATCGTCAGTGGCATGTGGATTTTCAGGGTGAAGCGGCCGCCAGGTTCTCCGCCTGACTTCAAGGCTCGTTACGTTGCTCGAGGTTTCAGTTAGCGAGAGGGAGTTGACTTCTTTCAGACCTTCTCCCCCACCCCGAAGATGACCACTCTTCGGGTGATGCTGCACGTTGCCGATCAGCGTGACTACGAGCTTCACTCTCTTGACTTCAGCACAGCTTTCTTACAGGGTAGCCTGCACGAGGAGATATGGCTGCGCCGCCCTCCTGGCTTCACTGGGTCGTTCCCTCCTGGTACCCAGTGGAGCCTCCGACGGCCAGTCTACGGTCTCCGCCAGGCACCACGTCAGTGGCACGACACACTGAGGACTACACTTGCGGCTCTTGGGTTTGCTCCGTCGACTGCTGACCCGTCGCTGTTTCTGCGCACCGACACGTCGCTGCCGCCGTTCTACATCCTCGTGTACGTCGACGACTTGGTCTTTGCCACTGCTGACACTGAGGCTCTCGCCCTGGTGAAGTCGGAGCTGCAGAAGAGACACACGTGCACAGACCTGGGTGAACTGCGCAGCTACCTTGGCTTGCAGATCACCCGGGACAGAGCACGCCGCACCATCACACTGACTCAGTCACACATGGTGCAGCAGGTCCTTCAGCGCTTTGGCTTCACCTGGTCCTCGCCACAGCACACTCCTCTGGCTACAGGCCACTCGCTCTCAGCTCCACCTTCGGACGAGTCCGTAGAGCCGAGTGGCCCGTATCCAGAGCTAGTGGGCTGCCTCATGTACCTGATGACCTGCACTCGACCTGACCTTGCGTACCCTCTTGGCCTTCTGGCTCGCTACGTGGCTCCTGGTCGGCACCGAAAGGTGCACATGGATGCTGCGAAGAGGGTACTGCGCTACATGTGCGGTACATCGGGCATGGGGCTCGTGCTTGGAGGGCGGAGCGCAGTTGTCCTCACTGGGCACTCAGACGCTTCTTGGGTTGACGACCAGGCTACGCAGCGGTCGTGACAGGGTTACACCTTCAGCCTTGGCTCTGGTTCAGTTTCTTGGCGTTCTACACGCTCGTCTTCTGTTCTCAGCTCCAGTTGTGAGGTTGAGATCTACGCCACAGCCATGGCTGCACAGGAGTTACGCTGGCTCACCTACCTGCTGACCGACTTGGGAGAGCGGCCTCGTTCTCCTCCAGTGCTGTACGTCGACAACAAGGCCGCCATTGCCTTGTGTCAGGAGCACAGACTGGAGCACAGAACGAAGCACATCGCTCTGCGTTACTTCCTGGCTCGAGAGTTGCAGCAGCGTGGTCAGCTTCGTCTTGCTCACGTGGCCACTCGGGCCAACACTGCTGATATATTCACCAAGGCACTTCCGTCTGGTGATCATCAGCGTTTCTGCACTTTGTTAGGCCTTGTGCCCACGTTTCCTCACTTGCTGTAGACTTTGCTTGTACTGTGATCTATATATATACCTGCATGCTTGCTCTGCTAGGTAGAGATCACTATGCTGTTATTGTTGCATATATACCTCTGCATGTGAACTGGCCTTGTGGCCCTCTGCTTGTGCTCAGTGTGTGTGGTGACGTTGTGATCCACCCTGAGCTTGCTTTGCTTCTCTTGACTGGTCTTGTGACCCCTTGTTCTCCCCCACTTTGCCTGTGGGGGTGTGTCAAACGTTATATCTGCTATACATGTTTAGGCTGTAGTGGGGTAGCCAATATGGGGTACAGCCCACTTTAGGGTTTCATATTTGTACCCAACCCTTCCATAGTTCAATCATTCCTGCTGCTTGATTCTGACACGTCGCGCACCCCATTTCCACGCAATACCGTTACCACTGTAGTTTCGCTATATATTCTTCGCTCATGCCTTCGCTCATGGTATTATTGCTTCGATAGTGCAATTCTCGCTCGCTCACTCAATTGCACTCGTAACACTACCATGTCTTAAATGGATCCATGTGTTGTTAGCGGACTTTTTTCAATACTGTATCAAGCGACCTGAGAGGTTCTAGAAGATCCTTTCCCTGATGATGTAGGGCATGTTTGTTGAAATCATGTGTCGTGGTTTTCTTCGTTCTTTTGCGTTCCAAACCGGTACTGGTATGATCTGTGACAAATCATGAGGAACTACCTGTACTCACAACACAAGCCTTCGGCGAGACGACCGTTGACCAATGGTCACTTTTGTCTCTGAATTTGCATAACCTCCACGCGCGCTGAAGTTGAAACGTTCAAAAAGGCGATTTCGCCGTCAGCAGTGGATCTGTGCGCGAACCTGTCGCAATGTGGCGACTTCGCGTTGCGACAGGGGACAGCCCATTTCTGACGAGCGTCAGCGACTTCCCTGGCCGACAGGTGCGACCGTAGGCGACCAGGCGACGCGTGCGACGGTATTTGCGACGCCAGACGGTCGACCATCGTGTTCGACTGTGCGTGCATTGAGAGATGGTTAGGACGCATTACATAATGCCCTTGCGAGCTGAGCGACTGGCGGAGCTTTGTGCGACCTAATCTACCCGTGCAATCTGCGATCTACCCAGGAATCGTTCGCCAGAATGTACACGCATAGTAAGCGAGGACTATCAAGGAGAGCGGTGCTGTGGGTTGTTGTGATGTATATGCAGTCAAAATAACTGGATTAGGAGACGCGAGACGGGAATGAGACAGTGGAATGGGTGAATGGATACGCATTGACATAGAGAGAACAGAGTATGACAGGAGTGAGTCCCACCGCCATGAACCCCGTTCCTCTACTGCTCTACTGCTCTATGCCTCCTCCTTCACAGTATCCTCGCTCTCTGCGCTCCTCCATCCCTCCCTGCGTCCAACGATCTCAAGAGAGTTGGACCAAAGGAAACGGACTGAGTAGAAACGAGTGCGCATCAACAGGTTTCCTTGGTTTTTGCATCACACAGACTTGGGAGTTGACCCGGCAACAAGGGGTTTCCTTGATTTCATCACCCTCTATACTTCCTCTTCCCCGTCACGCAGACTTGGGAGTTTGACCCAGCGGCAGGTACGGAGGAGGAGAGGCAGGAGGTGGAGAGGCTGAGGGAGGAGTTCACACGGCACAGACAGGAGAGGAAGCACAGCAGCGATGCGCTTATGCGCCTGCAGGTGATTGTATTGTACCGAGTGTGACTGTGAAGAAACGGATGTCCAAGCACAGGCACGAGAGGAAGCACAGCAGCGACGCTCATGATTCTGCAGGTGGTTGCAACCTTGACCGAATGTGGCTATAACGAACCATGTATTGGACCGCAAGCAACACACAGAACAAAACCATGTCTGAATATGAAGCGAACGGCGAACGCACGCACTCATTCACGCTGTACAGCTTACCATGTATCAGTCAGTCAGCCGCATCTACGACATGTGCGTCTGTCAGTCAGCCGCATCCACGACATGTGCGTCTGTCAGTCAGCCGCATCCACGACATGTGCGTCTGTCAGTCAGCCGCATCCACGACATGTGCGTCTGTCAGTCAGCCCCATCCACGACATGTGCGTCTGTCAGTCAGCCGCATCCACGACATGTGCGTCTGTCAGTCAGCCCCATCCACGACATGTGCGTCTGTCAGTCAGCCCCATCCACGACATGTGCGTCTGTCAGTCAGCCCCATCCACGACATGTGCGTCTGTCAGTCAGCCTCCATTATGGCCCCTGATGAGGTTGCAGTGGTGGATGCTGTAGGTCTCACATTGTCCCTCCCCGCTTCTGTTCTTCCCTGCTCTCCTCTTCCATCCCCTCTGCCTCCCAGCTCACAGGAGGCAAGCCCCCGGCCAATCAGCCGCCCCCTGTGCGGGTAACCGAGGAGCCGGTGGCAACAGCCACAGTCGTGGATGAGGCAGCAGTGGAGGTGACTCTAAGGAGGGCGGTGCGCTTCTATGAGACGATTCAGGCGGAGGACGGGCACTGGGCGGGGGACTATGGCGGCCCTCTCTTCCTCATGCCGGGCCTGGTAAGTCACTGTGCCGGTTGTTGGGGTTGACGCGCCCACTGGTGGGCCGACCATTCTTCAGTGGGTGACGGGACTGTGTGTGAAGTCGTGCCGTGCGGAGGACGGGCACTGGGCGGGGGACTATGGCGGCCCTCTTTTCCTCATGCCGGGCCTGGTGAGTGAGAAGAGGTGTTTTTGTTTTGGTGCGCGTGGGCCTGTCATTGGTCAGTGGGGAACGTGAATTTCTGCGAATTCGTGCTGTATCGTGAGCCCGCCCGCCCTGCACCACCAGGTGCTGGCAGCAGAGCTCGCAAAGCTTGTTCCGGGTGGTGTGTGACAGTAGAGTAGAGCGTGCGGGACTCGTGAATGAAGCGGAACAGAGCCTGTCCTTTCCCCGTTCCTCTTCCCTCTGCTGAGCCCTCCCATGCCAATCCCCCTTCACCTGACCCCCCTGCATGTCAGGAGCGCACTGGACCAGGTGCTGACAGCAAAGTGCACATGAAGCAGCATTTTCCATCTTTCCCCCTCTCCCCCACGGCTGTTCTGCACCTCTCAGCTGATCACGCTGCATGTGATGGGCGCCCTGGAGCAGGTGCTGACAGCGGAGCACAAGGGTCTCTCTTCTGTGGCTGTGCACACAAGTCTTTGTAGCAGCAAACTCAAAGGAGCTTTCCCCCCTTTCCCCTTCTCCCCCTTGCCTCTTCTTCACCTCTCAGCTGATCACGCTGCATGTGACAGGCGCGCTGGAGCAGGTGCTGACAGCGGAGCACAAGAGGGAGATGGTGCGGTACCTCTACAACCACCAGGTGGGCAGTGCACGTAGATTCAGAGAGAACAGATGCTGTGAGTGGTGTAGGTTGGTGGGACTGTGCTTGCTGACAGGCGAGCACAAGAGGGAGATGGTGCGGTACCTCTACAACCACCAGGTGAGCGTCACACATGATTCGCAGAGATCAGGTGCTGTGAGCAGTGTCGGGTGATGGGTCTGTGCTTGCTGACAGCAGAGCACAAGAGGGAGATGGTGGGGTACCTCTACAACCACCAGGTGGGCACCTCTACAACCACCAGGTGGGCACCTCTACAACCACCAGGTGGGCACCTCTACAACCACCAGGTGGGCACCTCTACAACCACCAGGTGGGTGCGTGGAGATTGTGTGGGATGGATGGGGGAGAAGGGAATCCGAAGTAGCGGGTTCCATGGTAGCCCGATTGCATGGTTCGAGGTTTAGGGGGGTAGAGAGTCACAGCAGGTGTAGGGGGGTGTTCGGCTCAACCCTCTCCTGAGTCTCCATCTCTTGTGTCCCCTTTTCGCCCCTCCTCTACCTCTCTACCCCCCACCCTCCATCCTCTCTACCCCCCACCTTTAACCCCTTCCCATCCCTCCCTCAGAACCCGGACGGCGGGTGGGGGCTGCACATAGAGGGCCACAGCACCATGTTCGGATCCACCCTCAACTATGTCTCCCTGCGCATCCTCGGCGAGCACCCCGCCAATCCCGCCATGACAGCTGGCCGCGAGTGGATCCTCTCGCACGGCAGCGCCACCGCCAGCACCTCCTGGGGCAAATTCTGGCTCTGTGTGAGTGCAGTGAGGGAGGGAGGGAGGGAGGGAGGGAGGGAGGGAGGGAGGGAGGGAGGGAGGGAGGGAGGGAGGGAGGGAGGGAGGGAGGGAGGGAGGGAGGGAGGGAGGGAGGGAGGGAGGGAGGGAGGGACTATGTATTTAATTACCATCTGCATTCTGCTGCCATGCTGGTGCCACTGCCAGCACCTCCTGGGGCAAATTCTGGCTCTGCGTGAGTGCACTCGGGGAACTATGTGTTTTTTAAGGGTCACCCTTTAGACCACGTTCGTGACCAATGGTGTTGCAGTTGCCCAACTAACCCTTCAACCACCGATTGGTCACCCGCTTCTTGTTGACCTTCTGTTTCTTGCATCCTCGTACCATCAGCTGACAGAAGGGATGCACGAGACAGAAGGACCATCCTATCAGTAAACTCTTTTGAGCACCCGACCCGACTCTCTCTCTCCAGAAACTTTTGAGTCGACTCAAAAGGGATGCACGAGACAGAAGGACCATCCCGTTAGTAAACTCTTTTGAGCACCCGACCCAACTCTCTCCTCTCCAGTAGTTTTTTTCTTATCTTGTTGTTTCGCAGCAATGCAACGCAACCCTTGATGATGCCAACTGGGCGGATACTGCTGCTGCAGGTTCCGTTGGCGTGTGTGTGTGGGTGCCGTTTCCCTCACCCTCCTTCGCATCCACTTGTCCACCGTTGTTGCGATGGGCATTGGGCAGGTGCTAGGCGTGCATGACTACAGGGACGTCAACCCCATGCCACTGCCACCCCCTGAGCGTCTCTAAGCAATAACCCTTCTCCTCACATGTCCCCTCCCCGCCCCCCTCATGCATCCTCCAATGCTGCGATCGGCAGGTGCTAGGCGTGTATGATTACAGGGGTATGGTGAAAGCTTCTGAAGGCCTCCAAGCACTCACCTCTCCATCGCATATCCCCTCATGCATCCCCTGTTGCTATCATTGGCAGGTGCTAGGCGTGTACAACTACCGTGGCATCGACCCCATGCCGCCTGAAAGCTCCTGAGTGCCTCTAAGCACTCAACCTTCCCCCACATATCCCCTCATGCATGCTCCGTTGCTGCAATGGGCAGGTGCTAGGCGTGTATGACTACAGAGGCATCAACCCCATGCCGCCTGAAATGTGGCTGCTGCCCTACTTCCTCCCTGTACACCCTGGTATGTCCTCCTCTTCCCTCTTCTTACTTCCTCTTCCCTGGACGATGCTCCTTGTGTGAGTGGTACCACAAGGTGAATCACAATCACCTGGCAAGATGTTGCATTGAGACATTCGCAGCGTTCCAATAACGTTGAATGTATGCACGATCTAGTCACCCCACAGCGCACAAAATGAACATTTGCAGCTTTCCAATAACAGTGCCTCACAGTTTTGAACCTTCACTCTCTTTCCCTTGCTCTCGGTTCATCCCTCTTTCCCCCTCGCACACTCCATTCCTCCCTCCCAATCGCCCTTCCCAGGACGCATGTGGTGCCACTGTCGAAAGGTCTACCTCCCCATGTGCTACATCTATGGCTTGAGCGCCCCCTTCTCTACCCCTCTCAACTCCTACCCATCCATCTCCATCCCTCTCCACTCCCCTCCCCAGGGCGTATGTGGTGCCACTGTCGCATGGTGTACCTGCCCATGTGCTACATCTACGGGTTGAGAGCCCCCCTCTCTACTCCTCCCCATCCCTCTCCATCCTTCTGCATCTCTTTCCATCCCTCGCCATCCCTCTCCATCGTTCTCCACTCCCCTACGCAGGTCGTATGTGGTGCCACTGCCGCATGGTCTACCTCCCCATGTGCTACATCTACGGATTGAGAGCCCACGGCCCCACCGACACGCCCCTCGTGGCGGCTCTTAGAGAGGAACTCTATAACGAGCCGTATGAGTCCATCAACTGGAACAACATGAGGCGCCGATGTGCCAAGGTGGGTGCCTTCTCTTAGAAAGGAGATCACAAGCAATCTTTATTCAATTAATATGAGTCGGCCGTTTTCTACATTCAATAATTGACATGTTCTCCATTTGGAAATGAATCGAGATACAATGTGTCTCGGTACTCACTTGGTGATCCGTTGTTAGCCTAGAGACAAGCCCCTCAAGCCCCTCAATGAAACGCCCCTCAATGAAACGCCCCTCAATGAAACGCCCCTCAATGAAACGCCCCTCAATGAAACGCCCCTCAATGAAACGCCCCTCAATGAAACGCCCCTCAATGAAACGCCCCTCAATGAAACGCCCCTCAATGAAACGCCCCTCAATTAAACGCCCCTCAATAAAACGCCCCTCAATGAAACGTCCCTCAATGAAACGCCCCTCAATGAAACGTCCCTCAATGAAACGCCCCTCAATCAAACGCCCCTCAATGAAGCGCCCCTCAATGAAACACCCCTCAATGAAACGCCCCTCAGGCCTATTCATGTGTTCCCCTTTTTGCTCATCCCACTTCCCTCCCCACACCGGTGTACTTGAAGCTGCTTCTAAAAAGCCTGCTACCATTTCTCCCCTTCTCCCCAGCTCCCCCGTCCCACAGGAGGTCCTCTATTTCCCGCACCTCTTCATCCAAGACTGCCTGTGGGATGCCCTTGCCACCTACCATGCCACCTACCATGCCACCTACCATGCCACCTACCATGCCACCTACCATGCCACCTACCATGCCACCTACCATGCCACCTACCATGCCACCTACCATGCCACCTACCATGCCACCTACCATGCCACCTACCATGCCACCTACCATGCCACCTACCATGCCACCTACCATGCCACCTACCATGCCACCTACCATGCCACCTACCATGCCACCTACCATGCCACCTACCATGCCACCTACCATGCCCTTACCACCTACCATGCCACCTACCATGCCCTTACCACCTACCATGCCACCTACCATGCAACCTACCATGCCCTTACCACCTACCATGCCACCTACCATGCCCTTACCACCTACCATGCCACCTACCATGCCCTTACCACCTACCATGCCACCTACCATGCCACCTACCATGCCCTTACCACCTACCATGCCACCTACCATGCCCTTACCACCTACCATGCCACCTACCATGCCCTTACCACCTACCATGCCACCTACCATGCCACCTACCATGCCACCTACCATGCCACCTACCATGCCCTTACCACCTACCATGCCACCTACCATGCCCTTACCACCTACCATGCCACCTACCATGCCACCTACCATGCCCTTACCACCTACCATGCCACCTACCATGCCCTTACCACCTACCATGCCACCTACCATGCCACCTACCATGCCCTTACCACCTACCATGCCACCTACCATGCCCTTACCACCTACCATGCCACCTACCATGCCACCTACCATGCCCTTACCACCTACCATGCCACCTACCATGCCCTTACCACCTACCATGCCACCTACCATGCCCTTACCACCTACCATGCCACCTACCATGCCACCTACCATGCCCTTACCACCTACCATGCCACCTACCATGCCCTTACCACCTACCATGCCACCTACCATGCCCTTACCACCTACCATGCCACCTACCATGCCCTTACCACCTACCATGCCACCTACCATGCCACCTACCATGCCACCTACCATGCCCTTACCACCTACCATGCCACCTACCATGCCACCTACCATGCCACCTACCATGCCCTTACCACCTACCATGCCCTTACCACCTACCATGCCACCTACCATGCCACCTACCATGCCACCTACCATGCCACCTACCATGCCACCTACCATGCCACCTACCATGCCACCTACCATGCCACCTACCATGCCACCTACCATGCCACCTACCATGCCACCTACCATGCCCTTACCACCTACCATGCCACCTACCATGCCCTTACCACCTACCATGCCACCTACCATGCCACCTACCATGCCCTTACCACCTACCATGCCACCTACCATGCCCTTACCACCTACCATGCCACCTACCATGCCACCTACCATGCCCTTACCACCTACCATGCCACCTACCATGCCACCTACCATGCCCTTACCACCTACCATGCCACCTACCATGCCACCTACCATGCCACCTACCATGCACTTACCACCTACCATGCCACCTACCATGCACTTACCACCTACCATGCCACCTTCTGGCATTCCTTATGAGTCTATACCTCCCCTCATCCCCTCCCCTCCTCCTCCCCCGTCTCACAGGAGGGCCTCTATTTCCCGCATCCCTTCATGCAGGACTGCCTGTGGGATGCCCTATACCACGTGGTCAAGCAGCTGCTCAATCCACTTGCCTTGCCACCTCTTCGTTTCTCCATTCCTCCCCTCTCCTCCGTTCTTTCCCGCAGGAGGACCTCTACTTCCCGCACCCCTTCATTCAGGACTGCCTGTGGGACGCCCTATACCACGTGGCCGAGCCGCTCTTCAATAAGCTGCCACCGGGGAAGCTTGTAAGGAGGATGGCGCTCAGGGAGGCGATGAAGCATATACACTACGAGGACGAGAACACTCGCTATGTCTGCATCGGGCCGGTTAATAAGGTGAACGAGAGCAAGGATGTGTGTTTCCAGGATTAGTAGTCACTCAAATCACATCAAAGCCCCCACCCACCTCCTGCCTTTTCCCCTCTCCCTCCCACCACTTCTCCGCTCTTCCCCGCCCTTCCCCCCCTCCCTCCGACCTGATCACCTACCTCCAAGGCGTCCTTCCTCCATTGCATGTTCAAGATTCTCCACCCTTGCACCAATAAACCCCTTCTTTCTCTCCTTAACTTCCATGTGATAGAATTAGTCCTTTCCTGCCTCTTCTCTTCCTCCCGCACCACTCTCTTTTCAAATGATCACCATGCTGTGTTGTGCATGCCTGGTTGACCCCGACAGCAAAACCGTCCTGCCCATTCTCTCCCTCCCTCCTCTGCTCGCATCTCTTTGCTGCTGCTGCGATGTGCTCTCTTGATTCCCTCTCCCCCCCCAGGTGATCAACATGCTGTGCTGTTGGGTGGAGGATCCCACGTGCGGGACATTCAGCTACCGTGCAGTCTGCCAAGCTCATCCCTCGTATGCTCCCACTCCTCCTCTCCTGCCTCTCCCCTCCCCTTCCTACCCCCCCCACCAGGTGATCAACATGCTGTGCTGCTGGGTGGAGGATCCCAACAGCGAGGCATTCAAGAAGCACCTGCCACGCGTGGCGGATTACCTATGGCTGGCCGAGGATGGCATGAAGATGCAGGTGGGGCTGTGTGGTCGCGTAATTTGTGCCTATATGGGGTGTGCCTGTATGGGGTGTGCCTGTATGGGGTGTGTCTGTATGGGGTGTGGCTGTATGGGGTGTGACTTTATGGGGTGTGGCTGTCGTGTGTAACTGTATGAGGTGTGACTGCATTACGTGTATGAATTTCATGACCTTACAATGTATTACTGAAAACCTTAAATTTTCCAATCCCCTGAACCCAAAACCCCCATTCCCCCCAACCCAAACCCTGATGTGGGACCCGGCCTTTGCTGTGCACTGCATGCTGCTCACATGATGGATGAAACCCAAATGGTTATCCACCAAACATTCCTTATGCTCCATCCAAACCCTTAACTCTAAAACCGTACGTACCTCCCCTAAACCCCAAACCCCAATCAGGGGTACAACGGCAGTCAGCTGTGGGACACAGCCTTTGCAGTGCAGGCGCTGCATGCCACCCACATGATGGATGAAACCCACCGCGCCCTCAAACTCGCTCACTCCTACCTCGAACGCTCCCAAGTAAGGTTGAGCACCCATGCGTACCAAAGAGGTTAAGCTTAGCTTGCTCATCCACGCGTCGTACCACAGAGGGTAGGTCTCGCGAAATCGTACCTCGAACGCTCCCAAGTAAGCTGCGAGGCCCCATCCCATCTGTTTGCATCCTTCCAGTCCTGAATCTTTTTTTAGAATTCTCAAAAGTTCTGAATCTTTATATCTTGAATTGAAACTCTTCCCCTGCCACATCTCCAGGGAACCCCGTGACCCCTCTACCCACCCACCTCCATGCATCATCTTCTTTCTCCTCTGTCCTCTCTCCCTCACCAGGTGCAGGAGGACTGCCCCAGCAAACTATCAGCGTGGTTCTGCCACATCTCTATTGGCGCTCCGCCCATCTCCACTTTCCATTCATCTCTCTTCTCCTCTTTCCCTTACTGCTACTGCTGCTGCCATGCAACCAACCAACCAGGTGCAGGAGGACTGCCCAGGCAAGCTGTCAGCGTGGTACCGCCACATCTCCAGGGGCGCTTGGCCCTTTTCCACGCGCGATCACGGCTGGCCCATCAGTGACTGCTCGTCTGAAGGGCTCAAGGTGAGTGTGCTTGTGAGGAGTATGGAAGGCTGAAAATGGGTGTGCTTTGTGCATCATGTAGGAGATGGCATTTTATGTCTCGTTCATTATCCAAGCCATCTGTAGAAATCGCACTGTATGTATCAATCGATATACGTGTCGTGTACAAAGTGCATTATATGTATCGAGATACATGCCATAGTTGTCTTGTCTCCCTTGTTTGTTGTTCGGCTCTCTCACCCTCACCCAAGGTTAAAAAATACGGTCGTTTTTTTTTTTAAGTTACGGTAAAAAACGGTTTCGTATAATAGGCTCCTGTGAGAAATCGTAGAGCAATTTAAAAAAAACGACCGTATTTTTTAACCTTGCCCTCACCTCATTGCTCACCTCGCACCCACCAGGCATCACCCATCTTGAAGGCCCTCGCTTCCCACCTGGTGGGCGAGGAAGGAATGTGGGGATCGCACCTAAGACCTATGTTTCTCTCCCTGTTCCTCCTCACCTCCTCACCTCCCATCTCCCACCTCCCATCTCCCACATCCCATCCCCCACCTCCCATCTCCCACCTCCCATCTCCCACCTCCCATCTCCCACGCACCCATCAGGCATCGCTCATCTTGGAGGCCCTCCCACCCCACCTGGTGGGTGAGGCCATTCCCGAGCGCCGCCTCTGTGACTGTGTGGACGTCATTCTCTCCTACCAGGTCAGTCAGTGATGACGTCATTCTCTCCTACCAGGTCAGTCAGTGATAACGTCATTCTCTCCTACCAGGTCAGTCAGTGATGACGTCATTCTCTCCTACCAAGTCAGTGATGATGTCATTCTCTCCTACCAGGTCAGTCAGTGATGATGTCATTCTCTCCTACCAAGTCAGTGATGATCCTACCAGGTCAGTCAGTGATGACGTCATTCTCTCCTACCAGGTCAGTCAGTGATAACGTCCTTCTCTCCTACCAGGTCAGTCAGTGATGACGTCATTCTCTCCTACCAAGTCAGTGATGATGTCATTCTCTCCTACCAGGTCAGTCAGTGATGACGTCATTCTCTCCTACCAAGTCAGTGATGATGTCATTCTCTCCTACCAGGTCAGTCAGTGATGACGTCATTCTCTCCTACCAGGTCAGTCAGTGATAACGTCATTCTCTCCTACCAGGTCAGTCAGTGATGACGTCATTCTCTCCTACCAAGTCAGTGATGATGTCATTCTCTCCTACCAGGTCAGTCAGTGATGACGTCATTCTCTCCTACCAAGTCAGTGATGATGTCATTCTCTCCTACCAGGTCAGTCAGTGATGACGTCATTCTCTCCTACCAGGTCAGTCAGTGATGACGTCATTCTCTCCTACCAGGTCAGTCAGTGATGACGTCATTCCTACCTACCAGGTCAGCCAGTGATGACGTCATTCTCTCCTATCAGGTCAGTCAGTGATGACGTCATTCTCTCCTACCAGGTCAGTCAGTGATAACGTCATTCTCTCCTACCAGGTCAGTCAGTGATGACGTCATTCTCTCCTACCAAGTCAGTGATGATGTCATTCTCTCCTACCAGGTCAGTCAGTGATGATGTCATTCTCTCCTACCAAGTCAATGATGATGTCATTCTCTCCTACCAGGTCAGTCAGTGATGACGTCATTCTCTCCTACCAGGTCAGTCAGTGATAACGTCATTCTCTCCTACCAGGTCAGTCAGTGATGACGTCATTCTCTCCTACCAAGTCAGTGATGATGTCATTCTCTCCTACCAGGTCAGTCAGTGATGACGTCATTCTCTCCTACCAAGTCAGTGATGATGTCATTCTCTCCTACCAGGTCAGTCAGTGATGACGTCATTCTCTCCTACCAGGTCAGTCAGTGATGACGTCATTCTCTCCTACCAGGTCAGTCAGTGATGACGTCATTCCTACCTACCAGGTCAGCCAGTGATGACGTCATTCTCTCCTATCAGGTCAGTCAGTGATGACGTCATTCTCTCCTACCAGGTCAGTCAGTGATAACGTCATTCTCTCCTACCAGGTCAGTCAGTGATGACGTCATTCTCTCCTACCAAGTCAGTGATGATGTCATTCTCTCCTACCAGGTCAGTCAGTGATGATGTCATTCTCTCCTACCAAGTCAATGATGATGTCATTCTCTCCTACCAGGTCAGTCAGTGATGACGTCATTCTCTCCTACCAGGTCAGTCAGTGATAACGTCATTCTCTCCTACCAGGTCAGTCAGTGATGACGTCATTCTCTCCTACCAGGTCAGTCAGTGATGACGTCATTCCTACCTACCAGGTCAGCCAGTGATGACGTCATTCTCTCCTACCAGGTCAGTCAGTGATGTCATTCTCTCCCACCAGGTCAGTCAGTGATGACGTCATTCTCTCCTACCAGGTCAGTCAATGATGACGTCATTCTCTCCTACCAGGTCAGAGTATGCATGTGTGCATGTGGGCATGTGTGTATGTGTGCATGTGGGCATGTGCGCATGTGTGTGTGTATATATACATATGTGCATGCGGGCATGTGGGCATGTGAGTATGTGTGTATGTGTGCATGTGGGCTGGGCATGTGGGCATGTGTGTATGTGGGCATGCACACATGTGGGCATGTGGTGCGTGTGTATGTGTGTATGTTTGCATGTTGCCATGTGTGTAAGTGTGTATGTGTGTATGTGGGCATGTGGGCATGTGGGCATGTGTGCGTGTGTCCCTGTGTGCATGTGGGCATGTGTGCGTGTGTCCCTGTGTGCATGTGTGCATCTGTGTGCATGTGCCACTCTCATTTCAAGTGGCACCATGATACCAACACACATGCTGGTACGAGATCACCCGCTCCCACCACTCATGCACCCGCCTCTCCTGCCACATCCTCCTTTTTCTCCATCTCTGCCTTCTCCTCTCTCCACTCCCCTACTGCCCCCCCCCCCTCCCCTCCCACTTCTCCCCTCCCCTTTTCCCCCCTCTCACCGTCCCCCTCTCCCTCTTCCGTCTCCCTACTTCCTCTCTCTTTCCCCTGGCCGAACAAGGGCGGCATCACAGCGGCATGTCCGCATGTGTTCCCCACCCCCATCTTGCCATTCCTGCTGCCATTTCCTCCCTGGATCATCACTCTTTCAAAACCCCATATCTCCCCTCTTCCCTCCCCCCCTCCCCCCTCCCCTCTTCCTCCCCCCTCCCCTCTTCCTCCCCTCCTCCCCTCTTCCTCCCCCCTCCCCTCTTCCTCCCCAACCTGCGTCCCTTCCCCTTCACCCCGACAGAACAAGGATGGGGGCATGGCCACATATGAGAACACACGCTCCTACCCCTGGCTTGAGGTGAGCTCATAGGTGATGCGATGCGCTGCATGTGCTTTCTGGCTTGAGTGGATTTCTCAGCAATGTCTGCTTCAAAGTTGAATCTCCCGCCTTTTTCCTCTCGTCCCCCTCTACTTCCTCTACTGCCGGCACTCCCTTCTTTCCGTCCCTTGTTCGTCCGTCTCACCTCCTCCACTTGTCCGTCTCACCTCCTCCACTTGTCCGTCTCACCTCCTCCACTTGTCCGTCTCACCTCCTCCACTTGTCCGTCTCACCTCCTCCACTTGTCCGTCTCACCTCCTCCACTTGTCCGTCTCACCTCCTCCACTTGTCCGTCTCACCTCCTCCACTTGTCCGTCTCACCTCCTCCACTTGTCCGTCTCACCTCCTCCACTTGTCCGTCTCACCTCCTCCACTTGTCCGTCTCACCTCCTCCACTTGTCCGTCTCACCTCCTCCACTTGTCCGTCTCACCTCCTCCACTTGTCTGGCCCTCGTGTCCCTCCCTCATCACCTCGTGTCCCTCCCTCATCACCTCGTGTCCCTCCCTCATCACCTCGTGTCCCTCCCTCATCACCTCGTGTCCCTCCCTCATCACCTCGTGTCCCTCCCTCATCACCTCGTGTCCCTCCCTCATCACCTCGTGTCCCTCCCTCATCACCTCGTGTCCCTCCCTCATCACCTCGTGTCCCTCCCTCATCACCTCGTGTCCCTCCCTCATCACCTCGTGTCCCTCCCTCATCACCTCGTGTCCCTCCCTCATCACCTCGTGTCCCTCCCTCATCACCTCGTGTCCCTCCCTCATCACCTCGTGTCCCTCCCTCATCACCTCGTGTCCCTCCCTCATCACCTCGTGTCCCTCCCTCATCACCTCGTGTCCCTCCCTCATCACCTCGTGTCCCTCCCTCATCACCTCGTGTCCCTCCCTCATCACCTCGTGTCCCTCCCTCATCACCTCGTGTCCCTCCCTCATCACCTCGTGTCCCTCCCTCATCACCTCGTGTCCCTCCCTCATCACCTCGTGTCCCTCCCTCATCACCTCGTGTCCCTCCCTCATCACCTCGTGTCCCTCCCTCATCACCTCGTGTCCCTCCCTCATCACCTCGTGTCCCTCCCTCATCACCTCGTGTCCCTCCCTCATCACCTCGTGTCCCTCCCTCATCACCTCGTGTCCCTCCCTCATCACCTCGTGTCCCTCCCTCATCACCTCGTGTCCCTCCCTCATCACCTCGTGTCCCTCCCTCATCACCTCGTGTCCCTCCCTCATCACCTCGTGTCCCTCCCTCATCACCTCGTGTCCCTCCCTCATCACCTCGTGTCCCTCCCTCATCACCTCGTGTCCCTCCCTCATCACCTCGTGTCCCTCCCTCATCACCTCGTGTCCCTCCCTCATCACCTCGTGTCCCTCCCTCATCACCTCGTGTCCCTCCCTCATCACCCCATGCAGATCCTAAATCCTTCTGAGACGTTTGGAAACATTATCATTGACTACTCGTGAGTACTGCAATATACAATCGAGTGACTCTTCTCCATCATTCCCATGCTCCTCCACCAGACATTTAATCGCAGTATTGTCTGCCACCAGACAATATTGTCCGCAACCCTCTGCTGCTTGTCATTTAGTTTCATGGGAATGGTATGAGTGTATGAGTGAGTGAGTGCAACCGAGCTTGGCCAAACAATGCATGCAGCTACGTGGAGTGCACGTCAGCATCCATCCAAGCCCTTACTGCTTTCACAATAGCACACTCATGACGTTCTGATCCACTCTTCTTCCTTCCTGTTGACCTTTTCCCACAACTCCCGCCGCTTGCTGCAGCTACGTGGAGTGCACGTCAGCATCCATCCAGGCCCTCACAGCATTCACGAGGGCGCACCCGGAGTACCGTGCAGATGGCATCAAGACTAACCCTTCTTCCTGCTGTTGCCCCTCTCTCCATGGCTGTGCTTCCTCCCCAGCTACGTGGAGTGCACGTCAGCATCCATCCAGGCCCTCACAGCGTTCACAAGAGCGCACCCGGAGTACCGTGCAGATGACATCGAGCAGGCCATCTGGAAGGCGAGGGGCTTCCTGGTGGATATCCAGAGGGACGACGGCTCGTGGTGAGTGGAGGCGTAAGAGCATGCAAGGATGAACCTGCATTGCAAGGTATGAACCTGCATTGCAAGGTATGAACCTGCATTGCAAGGTATGAACCTGCATTGCACGGTATGAACCTGCATTGCAAGGTATGAACCTGCATTGCAAGGTATGAACCTGCATTGCACGATCATGCCTTGGTGTGACACGTCAGCACGCCGGAGTACCGTGCAGAAAATATGACATCGAGCAGGTCATCTGGAAGGCGCGCGGCTTCTGGTGGACATTCAGAGGGACGATGTCTCATGGTGAGTGGAGGAGGCGTACCGTATTGAACATGCAATGCTGCTCTTACATGCCTTGCTGTCTGTTATGACAATTATGAAGGTCTGAACGGTTGTCCCCTGGCATGGCACGCGGGGGTAAAGAGGTGCAGAGTGACTGACTGTTCCCCAAATGGGGCAGCCACACCTGAGGCTGCACATTAAAGCTGGACGGGCTGATCGCCACACCTGCTCGCCACCCAAACCATCCATGCAGGCGCGACTGCTGGGGCGTGTGCTGCAGTTATCGCATGTGGTGGCACTGGTAGCAGCAATCTCTAGCCCCTGCAATCCCTAACCCTGCAAGCCTAAGCCCGCGATCCCCAACCCCGCAGTCCGTAGCAGCAATGGACGCAGATACGGCAGCTGGGGCATGTGCTACGCAAGGCAATGGCCCCGCAACCGTACGGCTTGCCAGGTTCCGTGATCCCTACCCCCATTCTCTCCTCCCCACCCGAACCTCATTGCAGGTACGGCAGCTGGGGCGTGTGCTTCACGTACGGCACGTGGTTCGGGATCTCAGGGCTGGTGGCAGCAGGGGCGCGCTACGAGACGTCGAATGCCGTCCGCAAGGCCGTGCGCTTCCTGCTGGACAAGCAGCTGCCGGCAGGGGGATGGGGGGAGAGCTACCTGTCCAGCCAAGACAAGGTGTGTGCGCGGTGCTGTGCGTCTACATACAAATGTGCGCGGTGCTGTGCGTCTACATACAAATGTGCGCGGTGCTGTGCGTCTACATACAAATGTGCGCGGTGCTGTGCGTCTACATACAAATGTGCGCGGTGCTGTGCGTCTACATACAAATGTGCGCGGTGCTGTGCGTCTACATACAAATGTGCGCGGTGCTGTGCGTCTACATACAAATGTGCGCGGTGCTGTGCGTCTACATACAAATGTGTGCGGTGCTGTGCGTCTACATACAAATGTGTGCGGTGCTGTGCATCTACATACAAATGTGTGCCAGGTTTGCCGTGTGCCGTGCGTTACTTGCTGCACAAGCAGCTGGCAGCAGGGGGGTGGGGGGGGCGCTATTTGTATAGCCAAGACAAGGTGTGTGCGCTGTGTGCGTGTGGTTGAGGGAACACTGCGCATGGCAGTGCGCTTCCTGCTGGACAAGCAGCTGCCGGCAGGGGGGTGGGGGGAGAGCTACCTTTCCAGCCAAGACAAGGGTACAATCTTTTAGATTTCCAAGAACTGCCGGGAGGGGGTGGGGGAGAGTTTTTTGTCCATCCAAGACAAGGCGTGTGTGTGTGTGTGTGTGTGTGTGTGTGTGTGTGTGTGTGTGTGCGCGTGCGTGTGCGTGCGTGCGTGCGTGCGTTCGTGCGTGCGTGCGTGCGTGTGCTGCGCTGTGCTATGTGGTTAAGTGAGCTTTTGAGAGGACGTAAAAGCCGTTGTGAGGTACGCTGCGACCAGTTTTGAGACAGCGAGCGAGTACGTTTCAAGGGGACCTTTGCTGACACTTCACGCCCGTTCACCTCACACAGGTCACTCGCAGGGATAACTTTTGAGGCGCCTCAAACACAGGTCACTTGCAGGGATACATGCACACCAAAGGTAGATATGAGCATCGAACCGAACTTAAGTTCGGTTCGAGATGTTCGGTACGAGTTATCTCGAACCGAACTTTTTTTTCTGCGAAAAAGGTTTGAGCAAACCTCGAAAAAGTTCGCGCGAACAGTTCGCGCAAACTTTTCCGGTTCGAGATTCGAACCTCAAACCGAACAGGTTCGAGGTTCGAAAGGGTCAAATTCGAACTGCGAGGGGTTCGAAGTAAATTAACGTCAGAAAGAATACGCTCGCGACTTTCCCGTCAAAAACGGGAAAGTCGTACGTTGGCTGCCAGTTGAGGCAGCCAACCCTAATCTCGTAGCAGAGTAGATATCGAGATCTAGATCAACTCTAGCTCACCCAATGCCTCCCTCCCCACTACCGTTCTTTCACCTCAGCTCCAACTTAGGATGTGTCAAACCTTAACTTACTTGTTAGGTTTGACAGTTTAGTGATGCTGTCCATAAACCATTAGACATGCATGTGTTGTAGAATAACATGTGCATCATTTTAAACCTCAAACATGAAAAGGTTCGAGTTCGCTCAAACCTTAGAAGGTTTGAGCAAACCTTTAGGGTTCGCCATTGTATACTCAAATCTCAAACCTTAAAAGTCTGAGAAAAGTTCGAGCAAACCTGTTCGGTTCGGTTCGACCAACACGCAAGGTTCGAAAAGGTTTGCGCAAACATGTTTGAGTTCGGTTCGTGCTCATATCTAACCAAAGGCTATCGATCAATCACTACCCTGCCCACATCCGGCCTCCACACGCTGCTCTCCTCGTCTCACGTGCCTCTTTTACCCCAACCAGTATCCCATCTTCCGTCCACAGCGACTGCCCTGCCTGTCTGAAGAGCTGACGCCCACCTATCTGCCACGCGATGCCACATGTCGCGTGGCATTCGTTGACGCCTGTCTGCCACGCGTCGCCCCCCTCTCCAGTGTCACATTCGTTGTCTGTCACATTGGTTGTCTGTCACATTCGTTGTCTGTCACATTCGTTGTCTGTCACATTGGTTGTCTGTCACATTCGTTGTCTGTCACATTCGTTGTTTGTCACATGTCACCCTCGTGTTCCCATCTTGCATCCCAATATTCCTGCCTAACCGTAACCCATCGCCCACAGAAATACGTCAACCTGCCAGGCGACCGACCTCACCTGGTGAACACCGCGTGGGCCATGCTGGCCCTCATGGAAGCCGAGCAGGTAGGCTGGACCTGGGGGAGGTGCTATCTGCTTCTTGGGGGAAGTGGTATCTGCTTTGAGAGCCCTGTAGGCCAGTTTGCGCTTGCCCCACTCATCCTCACCTGGTGAACGTCGCGTGGGCCATGCTGGCTCTCATGGAATCCGACCAGGTAGGCTGAACCTGGGGGAGGTGGTATCTGACTTGAAGGCCAGGCTGTACTGTTGCACTTGCGCCAGGCCAGGCTGCACTATACTGGTGAACACGGCGTGGGCCATGCTGGCTCTCATGGAAGCCGAGCAGGCGGGCAGGGTGTGACTGGAAGGAGGCGGTATTTGTTTCGTAGGAAGGGTGGCGGTGGTGTCTGCGATTGAAGCACTCACTTCCTCATCCCACCACCTGCGCGGCCCCCAGCCCTCTGCACGCAGGAGCTGGCGCTCCCTCCCCCTGCCAGCAAGTTAGCATTCCTCCTTCCACCACCCTTCAACCCCAACCCCAAACCCCCCACCCAGCCCCCTCCTCCCTTCTCGCATGCTCCTGTATCTGTTTTTTGAGAATTCTCAAAAATCAAATTCAGCATTCCTCCTTCCACCACCCTTCAACCCCAACCCCCCACCCAACCCCCTCCTCCCTTCTCACATGCTACTGTGGCAGCATCTGCGCGACCCTCGGCCTCTGCACGCTGCAGCACGGGTGCTGGTGAACGGGCAGATGGAGAATGGGGACTTTCCTCAGGAGGTGAGGGAGCTCTGTGGGTGCAGAGGTTAAGTGAGGGGAGGGGTTGGAGAGCACTCGGAATTCCCCAAAAAGATCTGTCAAGCAGCGATAGAGGATCTTTTTACAGAATGTTTGAAGGGGGAGGAGATGGGTTGGGTAACAATTGCCTCAAAACACCATCCATGCATGCATGCATGCACACAGCAGCACCATCCATGCATGCATGCACACAGCAGCACCAGTGCTCATCAATGGGGAGACAAACAGTCCACCTCCTATTGGAGATATATGAGGACGTAGGAGGGGGAGAGATGGGGAAAATGTGGATCGGAGAGATTGTGAATTCACAATGTGCACAATCAGCCTACCTGCTTTCGTGAGTCACCTTCTTTCCTCCATAAGCGTTGCCCCTGTCCCTCTTCTTTCCGTCCGTTTGATTTGACCCTCTGCAGGACATCATAGGGGTGTTTCACCTGCTATCGTGATTCACCTTCTCTCCTCCGCAATTGTTGCTTCTGCCTCTCTGCCCATCGTGCGTTTGAATTGACCCTCTGCAGGACATCATAGGGGTGTTCAACGGCAATTGCATGATAAGCTACTCCGCTTATCGCAACATCTTCCCCATCTGGGCGCTTGGCGTGTACCGAAACAAAGTGCTCAAACAGGCAATCATGGTGTGACATGTCGCGTGTGTGTTGAGACGTCTACAAACCGGCCTTATTTCACTTCGCATGTACCAAAACTAAACGTTCAAACAGCCAATCATGGCATGATGCAGCCTGTGGAAATGTGTTTAGCAACTTTGCTCTGAAAGGGAGGCTCAGCCTCCTTGTCCCTTAGCCTTGTTTCTCTCTGGTCTTACGGCCTTCAGGCCATCATAGGCAGGTATCAAAGTATGGCATGCATGAGTGTTTGATAAAGTCTCTTTCCCTGTCTGGGCTACAGCGTTGGCCATTGTAAACCTTAAACCATACAACTATTCCGTAATGCCCCGCACATCCATCTCCAGGCTGCTAGCAAGTCCTTTGGCTAGCACGCAATGGAGTGGACTACAACTACTGTAGCACTCCATCATCCAGTCAAGGCTTGACAGGGTTTACAGACTCAACAAATGCATGCAGGAAAAGAGAGTCCTGTAAGAGTCACTCATGCAAAAAAGCTTCACAAGTTCTTTATAGTCACAACAGGTATTTCATACATATTTCACACATTTCATACATTTCCTCCAAATCAAGTACATCATCTAAATCCGCCCGTGCTAGAGTCCCCTCTGCTCCTTTCGTCCTTAGGCTGTGGCGGCAACGGGCTGAACCTGAAACTGCCCCATGGCTGCTCCCCCCATGACAACCATCGTCCCGAACCCCGTGCAGTACCCCTCCGGCCCCGCTACAATCGAATCCACCAGCTGCTTGTAAGTGTCGCCTTGGAACGTGGTCAGCGTACTCGCTTTAAGCCACGTTCCGTTTAACGCATAGGTGTATGTGGAAGGGGAAGCGGGTGCGTCGACCAGGCTCTTCCTGCTCTGGCTGGGAAGCGTCGAAGTAGTAGTAAGATCCTCCCACGGGCCATCGGTCCCTGGCGGGGAAAAGAAGACGGCGACGATTCTCTCCTGTCCCACGTCTTTCGCGATGCCGGCGAAGGTAGGCTCGCCCGCTGTGGGGCTGGAGGCGACGACGCTGTAAAAGATGTTGTAGTCGCCGTTCAACCTGACGGATTCAGTCAAAGTTCGCACGGGCGAGTGGAAGGTGGAATGAGGGTCACATAATTTAAATGGGAAGCTGAAAAAGGAAGTAAGACGCTCGGGAAGAGTGCGTGGAGATTTTGAGGCGCCTCAAAAGGAAGAAGCTCAACGCTCGAGGAGAGTTCGTGAGAGTGCGTGGGGAGAGTGCGTGAGACTTACCCGTAGACGGCGAGGCAGACTTGTCCGCTGGCGCCGACTTGGCCTGTCCACGCGCCTACGGTTCCGTTCAGCGGCGCGGAGAGAATCGCTGCGCGGAGGGGAGGGGGAGGGGCGGAGCGATGCGAGGAAGAGGAGGGAAGGCGATTGGGGGGAAGACGTGGGTTAAAAAAAAATGAAGCATAGCGGAGGCCCTTGGAAGGACATGCCACCAAAACGACGCGCACTGCGGCGCGACTTGGAGACCAGCCCCACTTACCAGTTACGGGAATTTTGAGAGCGTCAGATCCTCAGCACTACTTCTACCAGAGTGAGCAGTCTCACATGATCCCGAGAGCTTCTTACCAGTCAGAGTCCCGAGAGCTTCAGCCTGGTCGGGCTTGGGCAACGTGCAGGGGCTGTCCTTTGGGGCTTGCGCCGTCGTGGTCGCTGCGCAGCAGACGGAAGGAACCACGTAGAGTATTCAATTAGAATTGTGAATAGCATCATAACTTCTTGATTCTGGAATTGAACGGATGACAAATCAAGCGGTTGTTAGTTGAAATGCGAGGCTCACTCACCGACGCTTGCGGTGACGACCAAGAGGCAAATCGCCAAGCCGGCGTAGCGCTGGAGCTCCATCGTAGATTGAATTTCTGAGCTGGTGAACCGAGAATTTGAGAGAGGAGTGATGCAATTTGGACGTGGCTGCTACTCGATGAAGTGGCGAACAAATTGAATGCTTGGTATTTTCTAACATGATTGGAGTGCTATTTATGGCCGCAACGAGGTCCGCCACGTTGTGTCAAATGGTGGTCACATTCGAGAAGGTTACGACAGTTTCAGAACGGTTCCGTAAAATCTAACAACGGTTGAGAAATGTAATTCCTTGGTGAAATCATGTTTCCTCGGGATTACACCTTCAACACATTCGGCGCTGCGGGAAACCTGGACAATGCACTTCTAACAGTCAGATAGTCGCTGCCGACGCGACGGTCAGGTAAATGCTGCCGACTTCAGATAGACGGATTCGGCGGGTTACCTGGCGGGAAAGGAAGCACATCCCCCGCCAGTTGATCCTAGCTCGTGTGACGTTTTGAGGGTAAGTAGGGCACGGGGAAACTACGTTGTAGACTGCACTGTACGAAAATCCTGTTGGCAAAACCACAAGCCCCCAGCTATAATGTTCAGAGTTTGCCCGTGAGACACAGTGACCCTATGGATTGGGGGATTGAGTCTCGACGGCCTATTATTCAGCAGAAGTTTCTGTTACGATTGGGGCATACCAAATCGTCGCCGCAGAAAACGGAATCAGTTTTTTCACAAAAAGAGAAATTCAGGTGAAGTACACCCACTTATTCGTTTATCTCACTAAGCGCGTTTCGGTCGGAGGCGCTTGTCATTTTTGCCCGGTGCTTTTAACGTCTGCGAGTCACAGTTCCCTGCGTATTGCCGTCCCTTGCTCCCAAAATGTGGCTATAAATACGTTTCTGCAACTGTAGGCCGGCCTGACCTAATCATAACTAATAAATTTGGCCTCGTCTTTAGCGCGAATGCGTGTAACTGTAGTGCTCTGCCACCAATTTTTTTCAACGTTTAGCAATTCAATGCTGAACTGATCACGCGTGTGAATCGTTTCTATGTGACATAACGCATCGCTCCCAACCTTCTATGTGAACGTACCGAGCTGGTAGCACAATCGCGGGTGCATCAAAAGAATAAGTGGGTGTATCATCGTGGCGCCATTCCACGCAGTCACGTCTGCTCTGGCGGGATTTGCGTGCAATGTACAGTATGCAGTCAGCATGGTCAACGCGCAGGTGCCGCACCAGGAGAGGTCAGGAGAATGTTGAAGGTCCGATATACTTTTCACCGTTATACAGCTGCAATACTGATTTCACAGAATATATGCCATATTTCAGCCCTTTCATAGATAAGGTCTCCGACCTTTCTTCGTCTATTGCCCTAAACATGTAATCATGCGTTTTTTTTTTTTAGATTTTGAGAAATTTCAGGGTGAAAATCTGACAGCCGGAAGCTGGATATAAGCTGCATATTGCGCATACGTCAAGTATTATGATGTAGAGCATGATCAAACATAAAGGTTTGGTTATGGTAGGGGTAAGTGTAGACTATTTTTATTCAGCCCCTCCCACTGCCTGCCACTGCATTTGCGCCATGGCGATCTTCCCTCTCTCCACCCTCCCCCCCTCCCCCCTCTCCCCCCCACTCTCCCTCCCAGGAGTGAATGGAGCACGCGCAGTAGTATTCGTTCTAGTGTTAGCGATTTCTAGACCAGTTCGAGGCGCTCGTAGTATTCCCTCAACCCACATAACGGTTCTTCTGTTTCATGAGTTCCCTTTTTCAATATTCACCTCGTTTCGCGGTTCCCTTTCTTTCCGATGATTGGCCTTTTCCGCTTCCCGCACCAACTAAAAAAAGGAAGAATATAAAAGAAACACGAATGCCAACCACGTCCGAGCGAATACCAGGCAGCAAGCGGTGGCATGGCAGCGAGCTATTAAGCTAGCACCCTTATTTCCTCGTCGCAGCGACAACCGTACCGCCGCAGGTCAAAGCGACCGCTTTTGACGTCTTCCCTCCTTTCCGTCCGTTGTTTCATACGTTTGTCTCCCGCCGTTCCAGCAGCAAATAAGCAAGCGAGCGAGCGAACGATCGAACGAACAGCTGCAGGTACGGCAGCTGGGGCGTGTGCTTCACGTACGGCACGTGGTTGGGATCTCAGGGCTGGTGGCCGCGGGGGCGCGCTACGAGACGTCGAATGCCGTCCGCAAGGCCGTGCGCTTCCTGCTGGACAAGCAGCTGCCGGCAGGGGGGTGGGGGGAGAGCTACCTGTCGAGCCAAGACAAGGTGTGTTAGTGTGCTGTGTGTCTGTGTGTCTCTGTGCTGTGTGCTTGAACGAACACGTTTTGGGACGGCGCAAGGCCGTGCGCTTCCTGCTGGACAAGCAGCTGCCATGCCAGCAGGGGGGTGGCGGGAGAGCTACCTGTCTAGTCAAGACAAGGTGCTTGCTCTGCACTATGTATGCGGTGTGCTGCGTGTCTGTATGTGGTGTGCTGGTGTCTGTATGCGGTGTGCTGCGTGTCTGTATGTGGTGTGCTGGTGTCTGTATGCGGTGCGCTGCGTGTCTGTATGCGGTGTGCTGCGTGTCTGTATGTGGTGTGCTGGTGTCTGTATGCGGTGTGCTGCGTGTCCGTATGTGGTGTGCTGGTGTCTGTATGCGGTGTGTTGCGTGTCTGTATGCGGTGTGCTGCGTGTGTGTATGCGGTGCGCTGCGTGTCTGTATGCGGTGTGCTGCGTGTGTGTATGCGATGTGCTGCATGTCTGTATGTGGTGTGCGAGGGCATCTTGTGTATGTGCTGTGTGGTGAAGCAAACACATTTCGAGACACCTCAAAAGCTGGTACGTGGCCAGTGGTTGAACAAACATGTGTCAAGACGTCTTAGCAGGGTGTTTTTTAGAATTCTCAAAAACACCCTGCAGCCCTCACACGTAATCTGGGGTGGCTTCGCTGGAATTACATTCACTCTGCCATGCCATGCGCCCTCACTCGATGATACACCAACAAGACTGCTCGTGATTGCTTACGAGTTGATAAGCTGACGCTCTGCTCCCCTCTGTTGCCTTTTGTACCAACAAATCCCATCTCCCGTCTCTGGCACCGTCGCTAGCACTTGCTGAAACACACCGTCCTGTCTGCTGACCGCCCTGTCTGCTGACCACCTCACTTGGTCAAATGCTGACGAGCTGGCGCCAACCAGCTGATGCCCATCTCTCGGCCCTGCTTCGCTCTCCCCTCTCTAGTGCCATGTTGATCTTCACCCTCTTATTCCCATCTCACATCCTAATATATTCTCTGTTTTTCCACCGCGATACCACCACACTGCCCTCGCCCACAGAAATACGTCAACCTGCCGGGCGATCGACCTCACCTGGTGAGCGCAGCATGGGCCATGCTGGCGCTCATGGAAGCCGACCAGGTAGGCTGAGCCTGGGGGAGGTGGTATTTGACTTGAAGTGTAGGCCAGGCTGTACTGTTGCACTTGCACCAGTCGACCTCACCTGGTGAATACGTTGTGGGCCATGCTGGCCCTCATGGAAGCCGAGCAGGTAGGCTGAGCCTGCGGGAGGTGGTATTTGCTTTTTAGGGGAGGCGGTATCTTGCGTGGTAGGCCAGGTTGCACTTGCCCCACTCGCCCTCACCTGGTGAACACAGCATGGGCCATGCTGGCGCTCATGCAAGCCGACCAGGTAAGCAGGGCCTGGGAGAGGTGTTATCTACTATGCAGAGGAGGTGGTGTTTTCTTTTAGGGGAGGTGATATCTACCTTGTAGGTAGGCCAGGTTGCACTTTCCCCACTCGGCCCCACCTGCAGCATGGGCCGTGCTGGCCCTCATGGAAGCCGAGCAGGTAGGCTGGGCCTGGGGGAGGTGCTATCTGCTTTGTAGGGGAGGTGGTATGGTATCTGCCTTTCAGGCCAGGTTGCATGTGCATCAGTCGCCCTCATCTGGTGAACACGGCGTGGGCCATGCTGGCCCTCATGGAAGGCGAGCAGGTAGTTCGAGTGTGCCTGGGGGAGGTGGTATGTGCGTTCTGAGCACTCATATCCTCATCTCATGCCAGCATCTGCGCAACTCCCAGACTTCTGCACGCCACGCCAGCAGGGGTGCTGGCCACATAAAGTCCGCATTTTGCCCCCTTTTTCTCCCTTCCCAAATGCTCCCATGGCAGCACCTGCGTGACCCTCGACCTCTGCACGCTGCAGCGCGGGTGCTGGTGAACGGGCAGATGGAGGATGGAGACTTCCCCCAGGAGGTGAGGGAGAGGGCAGGGGGTGAGGAGCATTCTGATACAAGCGCTCGTGAGTGAGAGGAGAGGGGGTGGGGAGCATTCTGATACAAGCATACTGCTCTGCATGCCGCAGTGCAGGTGCTGGTGAACGGGCAGGTGGAGAATGGCGACTTCCCCCAGGAGGTGAGTGTGCGCTGTGGGTGCTAAGGGTGAGAAGCGAGGAGCGGGGTGTGGGGAGCACTCTGAATGAACCTCACAACCACTCTGTACGCCGTAGCACGGGTGCTGGTGAACGGGCAGATGGAGAAAGGAATTCCCCCAGGAGGTGAGCGATCGCTGTGGGTGCAAAGGGTGAGAAGCGAGGGGAGGGAGGTGGGGAGGGCCCTGCGCATTCCAGCACAGGTGCTGGTGAACGGGCAGATGGAGAAGGCGGGTGTCCCTCAGGATGTGAGGGAGAGCTGTGGGGTTTGAGGATTCGAGCTAAGTGTGAGAAGCGAGCTGAAGGTGGTGTGACTCACATGAGGGGGCAGGGAAGGAGTGACAGAGTGAGTGCGCTGCGCTGCAGCACCGTGCACGAGCAGAGCAGTGAGAGGTGTTGTTTGAGAATTCTCCAACCACATCTGCATAGCACTGTGATAGAGCACCTTTTCACAGAACGTCCGAGGGCGCTTTGAAATGTTCCATGATCTTGGCTTTTGAGTCGACTCAAAAGTCAAAAGTCAGCTCGTGCGAGGGCGTTTTGGAATGTTTCCATGTTCTTGGAAAAGGACGTGACGTGAGAGCAGGGATGTCTGGGCGAGGCGGAAGGCTGGGGAAGGAGATGGGTTGATCTGGGGAAGGAGATGGGTTGGGTGACAATTGCCTCAAAGCACCATCTATGCATGCATGCACGCAGCAGCACCAGTGCTCATCAATGGGGAGAAAAACAATTCACTTCCCACCAGAGAAAATAAGAGGACGTAGGAGGGGGAGAGGCGGGGAGAGTGTGGGTCGAAGAGAGTGTGAAACCACAATTTTCACAATCAGCCACCTGCTTATCATGATTCACCTTCTCTCCCTCTGCTTATTATGCATTTACGATCCTCTGCAGGACATCATAGGGGTGTTCAACGGCAACTGCATGATAAGCTACTCCACTTATCGCAACGTCTTTCCCATCTGGGCGTTGGGCGTGTACCGAAACAAAGTGCTCAAACAAGCAATCATGGTGTGACGTAATGTATTGGAAGGCGGGATTCAGCTTTCGTTGAGTGTATTGCAGCAAAGGGCTCAGGCAAGCAATCATGGCTTGATGCAGCGTTCAGAAAGGGTTTTCTAATCCTTGCTCTGAAAAGGTGACTCAGCCTCCGTGCGGCTTATGTGTCCTGAGTTGGGTCTGAATTGAATACATATGCTTTTCGGGAAAGGTTCACCTTGTTGCACCCTTGTTCCTGTCCCGTTGTTAGGTTCCAAGTTTTAAAGCGGGCAATTATAGGGAGATAGCAAATCATGCATGTGTATCTGCTTGAGGTATCCATTCCTGTCTGGGCTACTGGGTTGGGCATCCTAAGAGAGCAAAATGCTCAACAGAACAATTCTCCTGCCATGCCCAGAGCGAAGTCCTCATCCCCCTGAAAAGCTCAAAAGCTTCACAAAGTTCTGAAATACTTTCTGGAAGAGCATCAATACATAGAACATCATATTGAATTTTCTCCGTATCAACTACATCCTCATTGATCCTCCCATGCTAGTGTCTGACTGCCGCAGTATTGTCCTTCTCCACTGCACAATCACCTCTCATCCAAATCAAGTTCATCAAACTCTTCTCATCCCTTCGTCTCCTTATGCTTTGACGGGCTGAACCTGGAACAGACCCATGGCTGCTCCTGTCTGGAAAGCTGCTGTCCCAAACCCAGTGCAGTACCCATCCGGTCCCGCAATAATCAAATCCACCAGCTGCTTGTAAGTCCGCCCCTGGAACGTGGTCAGCGTACTCGCTTTAAGCCACGTTCCGCTAAGGGCATATGTGTATGTGGAAGGGAAAGCAGGTGCGTCGACCAGGCCCTTCCTGCCCTGGTTTGCCGTGGAAGGCGGCGAACGAGTGAGATTCACCCACGGGCCATCGACCCCTGGAGCCGAGTAAAAGACGGCGACGGTTCGCTCCTGCCCCACGTCTTTCGCAATGCCCGCGAAGGCCGGCTCGGCCGATTCGGGGGTGGAGGCGACGATGTTGTAAACGATGTTGTAGTCGCCGTCCAACCTGACGGATTCAGTCAGTGTTCACGGAAGAGAGGTGGAACAAGAAAGGCGTGTGAGAGTCGCATTGAAAAAAGTGAAGGAAGGGAGGACGAAGGGAAATCCTCAGGGAGATGGGGCGGAGCAGTCGAGCTCGTCGACGGAGGAAGGCAATTATAGCCAAACATGATGTTTGAGGCAGGGAAATTGCGACTTACTCGTAGACGCCGAGGCAGGCTTGACCGGAGGCGTTGACGTCGCCCGCAAACCCATTCAAGTTGGAGGATCCGTTCAGCGACGCTGTCAGAATCACTGCTCGAAGAGAATTGGGAGGGGAGCGGCGGAGCGACGCGGGAGAGAGAGATGAGAGATGAGACGCGCAAATTGGGGAGAAGGAGGGTGTCATCGCGGAAATGAGTGTGAAAGGCGGCGGCACTAGGTGGTACGAAGCCTTCGTTCCCTGGACGACCCCACGCGTCTTGGGGACAGCCTCTGACGCGTATCGTACGCCGATGGCAACGGGTATACGCGGCACGCCTCGAGGCTTCCCGATTTGCCGTTCGCTTCTCACCAGTGAGAGTCCCGAGAGCCTGAGCATCGTCGGGATTGGGCAACGGGCACGCCGAGGGTCCGCCCTTCGGGGTTTGCGCGGTCGTGGTCGCTGCGCATCACAAGGAAGAAACCACATCAAATGTTAAAAATCGGAATTTCAGAACGGCGGCTGGAAGATCATTTTTTCCAGATTGAACAGTGGAGATGCGAATGTCACTCACCGAAGCTTGCGGCGACGACTAAGAGGCAAATCGCCAAGCCGACGTAGCGCTGGAGCGCCATCGCAGACTGAATTCCGAAGCTGGTGACTGACTCTGTGAGAGGAGTTTGGAGCTGCTTCGGTTGAGCGAACAAGTGAATGTCTGATTTCTGGATGACCACGAGCGATATTTATGAGCTGGAATGAGGTCTGCTGAGGGGGTGCCCAGGGGTGGGCACATTTGAGAAGGTTAAAAGCTTTTCAGTACGTTTCCTTAGTTTTGAGATCGGTCGCAAAATGTTACGCCTCGGTGAAATGTGTATCACGCCTGCAAAAATTGCGCGCTCCGAGAAACCTGGACAATGCGCTGCGCGAACAAAGAGACTTTGCCAAGAGGATCTTGAAATTGAAGTTATAGACGAGGGAGGGTAAATGGTAAGGAGAAAGAAAGAAAACACCTAGAAAGAAAAGGTAAGATCAAAGTAAAACCAAGTTGAAAACCAAAAACAAGTTGAAAGGAAATCTTGAAGTATGGAGTAATTAAGAATGAAGAAAGCTTTGAAGGAGAAGATAGATAGACTTGATAGGGATAAAAGGGACGAAACAAGATTGGCTTAAAAGAAAGTATTGAAGAAAAGGTAAAGGGCTTGAAAGATACTTGAAAGGAGCTTGTAACGAACTTGAGAATAAGAACTTGATTATTATGGAAAGAGCTTTGAATGTAAAACAACTTGATAATAGCAAATGAACTTTGATGTAAAAGATGTCAGATTTATATGACATAGCTACTGTAGGCTATAGTGGGGTAGCACATATGGGGTACAGTTTTCTAGGGTTTACATTTGTACCCAACTTTCCCTTAGTCATTCATTCTCGTTCAGTTTCTCATGGTATCGAGCAGGTTCCCCTGTGGGAACTGTTCCTAGGGCCCACCACATTTTTTTTCCTGCCCGGAGCGCGCTCTCCACTGCCCGAGTCGCGCTCCCCTCTCTCGACCCTGTCGCGCCGCCTTAGCGGCCCCGTCGCGTCGCCCTCGCGGCCCCTTCACGTCGCGCCGCCCTAGCAGCCGCGTCGCGCCGCCCTCGCGGCCCCGATCCGCCGCCCTCGCGGCTCCTTCGTGTCGCGCCGCCCTCGCGGCCCTTTCACGCCGCCCTCGCGGCCCTTTCTAGCCGCCCTCGCGGCCCTTTCTAGCCGCCCTCGCGGCCTCTTCAAGCCGTCCTCGCGACCCCCCCCTCCTAGCCGCCCTCGCGGCCCCGTCGCCTACCCCTGCGGCCCCGGCGCCGCCCTTCCCTGCCTCGGCGCCGCCTCTGCTGGCCCCGTCGCCTACCCCTGCGGCCCCGGAGCTGCCCTTCCCGGCCCCGGCGCCGCCTCTACTGGCCCCGACGCCGCTCCACCCGGCCCCGCCGCCGTCCCCACGCGGCCCCGCCGTCACCACCGAGCCGCCGGCGCCGCCGAGCTACTGCCGAGCCGCCCGATCCACCCGAGCCGCCCGAGCCGCCGCGCCACCTGAGCCGCCCGAGCCGCCGGGTCGCCGAGCCGCCGAGCTGCAGTTGCTGCCGAACCGCCGTACCGCCGAGCCGCCCGAGCCGCCCGAGTCGCCGAGTCGCCGAGCCGCAGTTGCTGCCGAGCCGCCGTACCGCCGAGCCGCCCGAGCCGCCCGAGCCGCCGAGTTGCCGACCCGCCGAGCCGCCCGAGCCGCCCTGTCCGGTAAGAGCAGCGCCTCTGTCACTGCACTGCCCTTACCCTACTGTTCGCGCTGCTAGTCCACTGCTGTCATGGCTACCCCTAGTGTCCTCGCTTTTGACGCTGAGGGTCGGGCCATTGACTTTGACGTCTGGGTAGATGACCTGCAGCTTTTCCTACAGTGCGATAGGGCAAACGGTCTCTCCCTCTTTGACCTCACCTCTGGTGCCTCTCCTGCCCCTGCTGCTGATGCCGACGCCACTGTTCGCTCACAGTGGGCCACATGCGATGCTGCTGCACGTCTTGCTGTGCATCGCCACCTGCCTACCTCTGAGCGTGCGCACTTTAGCCAGTACAAGAGTGCTCACACCTTGTACGACGCTGTAGTTGCGCGCTACTCCTCCCCTGCCACTGCTGCACTGAGCCGCCTCATGCTACCGTACCTCTTCCCTAACCTTGCTGCCTTTCCCATAGTCGCTGACCTTATTACGCACCTCCGCACTAGTGACACTCGCTACCGCGCTGCGCTTCCTGCTGAATTCTGCGCCAAGAACCCCCCCCCCCATGTACATCACCCTCTACTACATAGTCACCCGGCTCCCTGACTCCCTTCGCGTAGTCAGGGACCACTTCCTCTCAGTTTGCCCCACCACTCTCACCGTTGACCTCCTCGAGAAGGCCCTCCTAGCAGCAGAGAAGAGCATAGTCGCTGTAGGAGCCTCTCGTGGTGACCCTCGCACCCCCGTCCTTGAGGGGTGTTCCCCCTCCCCCCTTTTGCCCTCTGTTGCCTCTGCTGCTGCGGCCGACCTCGTTGGTTTCGAGT